TTTTGTCTTTCTTAAGAATAGTTTTTTTGAAATTCAAACTTATTGCTGATGTAGGAGAAGTATCTCTTAATTTGTCAAAGCTGTTTTTTAAATCAGGGATTGTAGTAGTAGTGGGATTACCATTTACACTAGATGCAGCCACAGAAGCTGTTGAGGGGAGATACAATAGCATATTCTGTTACAAAATCCTCCCAAATATCTGAATATTTGAATTCAAAATTTGGTTTGTGAGCTCCAAATAATTCATCACCTTGAGTTGATTTGGTAGCCTTTGTAGGAGTCAAAGCCGAAATCTGTTCATCCTTCTTTTTAGCCTCCATAGTTTGTGGAATTTTAAATTTGAGAGCTATGTTTGTTGGAGAGAAAGCCGGATCTTGTATCTCAACAACCTTCTTTAGAAGAGTTCAGTTACAATTCAATAGAAGAGTTCAGTTACTAGTGTAAAATTCAATACATTTTTTAGTGTACTTCTTTAGCTACCACTTAGAGTAAAATCAAAGGGATATTAGGGAAGTACAAGATATAATCCATTAGAGTGTTAGCCTGTATTCTTTGAAGCATCTCTATAAGTAAATAAAGAAGACATGTAGAGGAGATACCTTGACCCTTCCTAGTGATATCACTCTTTTATATTTTCATTATTTTATGAATTTAATGAAAATGATTTTGCTTGTCATTTATTCTATGTCTGGCTAAATCTCTTATTTGTTATTGATTATGCAAAGAGCATATTATATACTAATGAAGACACTTATTCTTTAAATATCTAGTGATATTTTTAATATTATCCCATTCTTTATAATACACATGGTGGCCATATGTGTAGTTAAAATATAGTGTTATGTATAGTCTCGACGGAAGAAAATAAGAATAACTAGGAAAATTAAAATAAATTGTTAGCATGCCTAGATATAGGATGTTAAATATTTTACGTTCTTAATGAAATATTATAATTATAAGAGGCCAACAAATAGTTTTTTTTACACCTACAAGCTCAATATAGATCTAGGGATACATTAGTTATGAATCATATTACCATGAAGAGTCTAATCATGAAAAATATGAAATTTGTTTCATCAATCCAAAATATTTTTATTAAATATTATATCTATTATTCTACAATTTTATTGAGTTATAAAAACCCCAAAACTATCATTTTATTTCACTAGGATGATTCATGCGATTAGAGAAAATGTTAGTATTTTATTATAAGTAAGCATAACACCTTCTAATGAGTTCGACACTCTACTCTATCACTATATTTCTTGTATACTTATGTATATTAAGTGGGTTTTTGTTATTTACATTTTAAAAATATTTAAGCATTATTTAGGGTTGATAGAATGTGTAAATCTTACGTCATTCAAATATGTACTCCACAGTCCCCATAAAGTTCTTAACATCATTACTGGGAAAGAGATTTTTTTTTTTTTTTTTAATTTTCTTTATTTTGTTGAATTAATTTCATATTTATACCTACTTATATCATGCATTTTATTTTTACATTTTATATTTAGAGAGGAAACTTTTTTTTTATCTAAAATAGAAAGAACCATTTCAAAAATTAAAAAATTAATATGATTTTTAAAATGTTTGCACTAATACCAGATCAAGATCATTCTAGATCTCTTAGGGATTATACTAACTCTATAGTAGATAAAATTTATTAGAGCATTAATAGGCCTACTATCAAAGATAATAATTTTGAATTAAAACTTCTCATAATTCAAATGGTTCAAAATTCCAATTTGGTGGAATTCCTATTAGAGATCTCAATTTACATTTAGCCAGTTCCTTAAAAATGTGTACAATACTTAAATAAAATCATGTCAATTAAAATGCTATTATGCCTAAATTATTTTCATTTTTTTAAGAGATAAAGCTAAGATGTGGTTAGATTCTTTACCCCCAAGAACAATAATCATGTGGAATGAGTTAGCTCATCAACTTTTTGCTAAGTATTTTCCACTTTCTAAGAATACTAAGCTTAGAAATGATATCACATATTTTTATCAATTTGAAGGAGAATCAATTTATGAGAGTTTGGAGAGATTTAAGAAAATGCTTTGGAATTTCCCTCACCATGATTTACTTGATTTGTTGGTTATTCAAACTTTTTATAATGTATTAGTAGGATCTGTTAGAGAAATCATAGATGTTGTAGTTGATGGATCATTAATGTCTAAGCCATTTGAAAAAGCATATGAATTAATAGAGGAAATACCTACTAATAATTTCTAGTGGCCTACTCATAGGGTAAATCTCAAGAGAGTAGCTTAAATTTATGAATTGTATGTATGTTCAATCTTGACTGCACAAGTTGTAATAATTTCTAAGAAGTTAAGTACGATAGGAGTAAATTTTGGATTAGGATCTGAATTATCTATACAATTGAAGAATCAAGATTTAATGAAGATAGTAATGTGCAAGGGATTAAAAGTTTTAAGTTGATTGTGAGATAAAATAATCTCTACTCCAATATATATAATTCAAGTTGGAGTAACAATCCTAATTTTAGGTGGTCAAATAATATTGGTGATAACAATTAATAGAATTCTTATCAAAATAATTGAGGAAATTAGAACAGTCCTCAACAACCTACTATTAATCTTAGACCATCATATTCTCTATAATTTAATCAAAAAAATAAATTTGGAAATAAAAAATTATCTTTGAAAGAGGTAGTGAAGTAGTTAGAGACTCAATTATAAAATTAAGTTTGATCTATTAAAAATTTAGAAACTCAATTGAGTCAGCTATTAATTTTATTTAGTAGTTAAGCTTTTAGTTCATTACATAGTAATACTAAAGTTAACCCAAATGAAAAAAAGGAAAATATATCTTTGAAAACCACTTAAAGAGTTGTAGTGATGTAACCTAAGCAAATTGATAAATTAGGCAAGTCTTGCTGAAGACTATAACCTTAACGTTGTTTTGGAGGCAACAAATATTTGTGTTTAAATGTAAATTGTAGATTGTCAAAAAAGGGCATCAAAACACTGATGGTAACATCGCCACATTGAGCCATATTATGCTGATTTTATCTCAAGTTTTAGTGTTGCAATGCTCATGAAGACATGAAAAGGTTAAGTTGGAACTCTAGTTTTCTATCTAGTGCAGTTTTTCTTAAGTGAAGTGTTATTGAGTGTTCTCTTTTCTTTTATTGAATCTTAAAGTAATGGATGGGAAGAAACAAAAGATTCCTCCTTAAAAAAAATTAGGTTTGCTTGAAGAATGAAAAAAAACTTTATGAAGATACAAAGATTTATAATGATTAAATGATGAAGATGCATGGGTGTGAGAATCTTAATCATGAATTTTATCCCAGTCAAGATGTCCTGCATTTTTATTTTAGGAAGAAATTTTATCATGAAAATTTAAGTCTAGATGGATGGTCTTTTTCCTATTATTAGAGTATATTCTAATGTTTTCATAAAAAATTAAGATAAACAAACTTTTCACATCTTTAAGATTAATGTTCATAGATTGAAACTTTGTTGATGATGCTGATAAGGAAGATAAAAAATCCTTAATATGCTATATAGGAGTCTTCATTTTCTTTGTATTTGGTTTGAGAGGAGAAAGAGAAAGAGTAAATGATATCTTTGTTTAGTAGAATATTTTTATTTTCTTTGGGAGAGATTCCAATGATATGAGGAATCAGTATGTTTTTAGTTGTGTAATGATAGGAGTTATGACCATGAGAACCACTACATTGTGATGTTAGATTCGTGATGGAAGCAATAGTCATCCTGTATCATGTGTTTAGTTTTATATGTATCACAGATTTTGCACATTTCTATCATTCATAGTAAAGTATGTGTTATTACTAATGTTTCAATTGTGTTTATTTGTGCATCTAATTTAAATTCCCTTTAAGCTTGCATTGTTATATTGTCTTATATTAATATATACATATTATGATTATTTATTTAACTAGAGTAAAAATAATAGTTAAAATTTAAGTAAAATTAGCATAATAATAATACTCTAAATTATAGTTTGTTTGATAATTCATAGATTAAAAAAAAACTAATAATTGACTAACTTATATCATTTAAGTTATTGACTTAACTTGAATTTATAAGTTATACATTTATACATTGACTTTTGAGTTTAAAGATGAATAATTAAAAATAAAGAATACATATGTGTATATTAATATTAAAACTTATAGTAACCTAAATTTGAAATTATTGATCTTATTAAATCCTTAACATCAAAATAAATAAGATTGTAGAAGATTTTAAGCAAAATTGATATTCAAAGTCATTATTTATGCACTCCTTAAAAATGCAAAGAAAAGAAAAATATGAAAAAAAATTCTAAAAAGAAAATAAAAGAAGACAATTTTATTAAAAAAATTTGTATTAATTGAAACCTTAAAGTCAACTGCAATCTTATACTTAAATTTATAAATGATACGATAGGAGAACTAATATAGATGATGGTGAACTAATGAAATTTCAATTATTAACTACAAATCTATTTATTCTTTAAGCTATATTATTCATAACATATAATTTCAAAATAAGAAATAATAAGGAGGCTGGTATGGATAATTGTTAGGTTTTTTCTAAACTAGAATTATAACATTGTTCATTTCAACTATTTCTATACTATGTTGTAATATTCTATATTTTAGTAATTTTAATTTATAAATTTTTACTTTGGTTATTTAATTAACCAGAAGTACAGATTCCTTTATTTTCTTAAGGACAAGCAAAAGTTTAAGCTGGAAACAATTTAATAAGTGTAAAATATTTACTATTTTATATATTTTATTTTAACTAAAAATATGTTATTTTAGTTAATTTTGTACAAGAAAAACTAAAAAATGGCAAAAAATGCTAAGCATCCCACAACGCCATTGTATAGGATGAAACACCACCGCAACACCACCTTCAACATCACTAAGGCGCCACATTTTTTGACATCACAACATGATCTTCTCCATTTTTAAGCAATGTGGTGGTACACATCCAACTTCACTGCATTGCCAGTGCCACTACCTCAAAAAGTCAATATGGCTGTGCCAAGTTCTTGCGAATTTAAATGTTGCAGTGCCATAATTTCACATGTCTTGACAACAATTTTTCTAATTGGATGACATAATGCTCGAATATCAACAACAGCATGGTGCTGAAGTTCTAACTTCCATGGCTTGCATTATTCTAGTGAAATGTAATGACTATTAACTAAGCAAATGTTCCATATCATAAAGTACCACGGGGAGCAAAAAATTTAATGTCAAGGCGCTAGTTACTTTTTAGGGTGCTGCGATGCCAATATTTGAGGCATTGTAGTGCCAGTTGCCTTTTGGAGTAACTATAAATAGATGTTATATTTTTTTGAGGAAGAGTTAAGTCACTAGTCTAAAATTTAGTACCTTTTTTCAATTTACTTCTCTCTTAGAGTAAAATCTAAGGGAGGCTTGGAATGTATAAGATATAATCCATTGGAGTGTTTAGCCAATGTTTGTTGAAGCAACTCTGTAACTAAAGGGGGAAGAAGTGTAGAGGAGATACCTTAACCCTTCTAAGTGATATCACTCTCTTGAATTTTCATTATTTTATGAATTTAATGAAAATGTGTTTGAATGTCATTTATTCTATATATGACTAAATCTCTTATTTTAAATTGATGATGCAAAGAGCATGCTAATGATGACTCTTATTCTTTAAATATCTAATGATGTTTTTAGTATTAACATGTTGTTTATTTAATGTACATAGCGATCAAATATGTAGTTAAAATATAGTGTGATGTATAACCTCGATTTAGGAATTCAAAAATAACTAGGAATATTCAAATAGAATGTTAGCATGCCTATATAGGATGTGTTAAATATTCTAGGTTGTTAAGGAGATATTATAACTATTGGAGGTCAACATATATTCTTTCACCACTATAAGCTCGATGGAGATCTAGGGATGCATATGCTCTAAAATCATATTTCCTTGAAGGTTCTAATTAGGAAAAATATGAAAATTGCATTCATTAAGCATAAACATTTTTATTAAATATTGTATCAACTATTCTACTATTTTATTTAGTGATAAAAACTCCAAAAATATCATTTTTATTTTAGTGTGATAATTCATACAACTAGAGTAAACGATAGTATTTTGTTCTAAGTAAGCATAACACTTTCTCATGGGTTTGAGACTATACTCTATCATATTATTACATGATTAAGCATGTCATGAATTATATTAATTATTAAATTATCTTTAAGTCGAATTCATGTATTATAGGACAAACATTTTATTAATGAATTTTGTTTGTTAATGGCGTTTACTTTAAATTTTAAAGAATAATGTAAACTAATAACCTCAATATACATTAAAGTCAATATTCAACAAGTCTTAAGTTTTTAAATGAATGCATATATTTCAATTCAATGAATAAAGCAAACACATAAAGGCATCCATTTTTTTAAATATTTATTTAAGATTTATTTGTTTAATTTTATTTTTTTATTTTAATTTTTAATTTAGTTTTATATTTTTTTTATTTATTTATTCAATTTTTGATGGTTTCACAAAGTTTGACTTTTTATTTAAAATTAAAGTTTAAAGGTTTATTATTTTTTATTAAAATTTAATATTTATTTTTAGTTTAATGAAATTAAATTTATTTTTTAGGATATTTATTTATGAAATTTCAAAATTTAACTTTTTTTAATTTTTATGTTTCTTACACTAAATGAAAATTGCTATCTTGGCCGCCGGCTATACAAATGTTTTTTTACAACCGATACGCCATTGGTAATTACCCAGCGGTTGCCAGCATTTTAATTGTCAAAATTTATCGAATGTTTTGGCCGCTTGAAAGCCCAGGAAAAATTAGCTGCCGAAAAATGGCTACCGCAATTCATTATCTATGCGGTTTATACTGGCGGTTCATGAACCACCAGAAAATTGAAGGTAATTTTAAAAACCAACTAAAAAGTCTTCTAAACAATAAAAAAAGTGCCGTTTGTAATTGGCAATTTTCCTGTATTTTTAAGAATTTGGGAATTTTGCTAATTTTGTGCCATATCACTTCGAAACATCATGAAATCTTTACCATTAGTCAGATATGACAA